GGGAAAAAGGAGAAGGAGGGGGGAGGAGGGGGAGGAGGAAACCCTTCGGCTGCCGAACCTGGGGCCTGGAGAAAGGACCCTCGCCATGGCACCCTCACCCAGAACCAAGGCGGGTGGCGTTCTTGGAGAGAAGTGGATCCCGCTGGGCAGCGGGAGGCGAGGCAAAGGCGTCTCTGGGCCCCTGCTGGGAGGGGAGTCTGGAGAGTGGGCAGGTCGAGGACCGGCTGGGAGGGAAGAGGGCGGGCAGTGGCCTGGAGGAGAGAGGGTGGGGGCGTTGGGCAGTGGGCTGTCCCGTTTCTGCTTGAGCCCCCATGTCACGTCCACTTTTCCTTCTGGGAAATGATGGGCCCAGGGTGGAGGTCGGAGGCCGGGGATCCGAATCCAGCCTCAGGACTATGCTGGGCTCTGGGAAGCACCTGGGAGAGGAGGGGGGAAGGGGTGGGTGGGAAGGCAGCAGCTGCCCCTCCGGGCCTCAGTTCCCCAACTGTGCCATGGGAAAGAAAGAAATCACCCAACCTCCAGGGCCTTTCAGAAGTAGGGTTCGGGCGAGCTCCTTTGTGGAGGCCGCGAACGCTGACTGCTGTTCCTCTCCCTCAGTACCGAGGCATCTTGGAGAATCACCTTGCAGATTCCATCAAGCTCACGGCCAGCCAGGCAGAGAGCAGGTGCTGCTGAGGCCACTCCCACTCTGGACTCCGGAGAGGACCCGGCCTGGGCTCCCTCATCCCGAAACCGCCGGCATCCTCCGGGCCACACTGCCTGCCAGGAGGCCGAGGCCCTGCAGCCAGAGCCTTGAGCCTCTCCGGCCCCAGAGCCAGGCTGGCCTTGCGGGGTTGACTGCGGGGAGGCCGGGCTGGGCCCACAGGACCCAGGGAAGCCAGAGCGTCCCAGGTGAGGCTGCCTGGTGGCTCAGCTCCGGGCCCCCGCAGCCCCACACGCACCCCTGCAGACAGCGAGGCCCCGGACTCCCTGGGCTGCTCCCCTCGCTGCCCACAGCCCCGCCCAGCTCTGACCGGGTGCAGTGCAGCCTCCCTCAGCAGCCAGGCGGGGAGAGGGCCCGGCCCGCCAACAGATGCTGCTGAGGGCCTGAGGGGGACAAAGCTGCCGGGGACCTGGTGCTCAGGCGGCTGCAGCGCTCCCTCAAGCCACAGTTTGCTCATCTGTGAAATGGGCGCGTGGATTGAGGCGGAAGCTGCGCTTCAATCTCAGTCCCTGCCGATGTTGTGCATTTGTCTGCTCCTTCAATGGACACCCTTGAGTTCCGACTTGTTCGCACGGAGGCCCAGTGATAACACAGACAAGAGCCCCATCCGTCTCCAAAAGCCTACAACCGGTGAGGAAGAGGCGACAAACAGAAGCTAAGCAGCTGAAGTGGCCCAGGAGGGCTTCGCTGAGGAGGTGGCATTTGCCCGAGGGCTGGAAGAAGAGCATTGCGGGGTGGGGTGGGGGCAGCAGGGCGGAGGCCGAGGCAAGGACAGGCTCACTGCTTCCCAGATGGCGAAGGGACCTCGTTCTCCGGACAGAGGCGTCCCAGAGCCGCAAGGCGCGCCCGTGCGCCGTCCGGCCAGCAGAGGGCAGCAGCGCCCGTCGCTTCCGAGAGAATTCCAATTCCTTAGGCTCGGGAAGAAAGGAGCAGGAACTGCGACACAGGTGATCCGGCAGGAAATCAAACAGGGAGGAGGAGCCGGGAGCCGCTCCTCATGGGGGCGTCCGCGGACACACGGAGCAGCTCTAATAAACGTGCCCTGTGTTTTTATCCATTGTGTAACAGTGTTCTCCTATTGTCCATCGTCTCATTTTCTGCAGATGTCAGTCAACTGTGGAAGAAAAATATTAGGTAGGAATTACAAGGAAAAATGGGTAATTTTAATTCATGTGTCATTCTGAGTTGTGTGACGAAATCTCATGCCACACCACCCAGGACACTAATCATCTCTATGTCCAGTGTATCCACACTGGGTATGCTACCCTCCCATTAGTCACTGACAAGCCGCCTTGGTTATCAGATCAGCTGGCATATATATCAAGTGCTTGTGTCAAGCAACGCTTAAGGAATACCCTAACATTGTGTCACAAGGTCTCTGCCACCCCTCACTCCTCACCACAGAGTTCATGAGTCATTTCACATCATCACAGGGAGTGGCGTGGATACTGCATAATAAGATATTTTGAGTATACATTCATACAACTTTTATTACAATGTATTGTTATAACTGTCCTGTTCTCTTACTGTGCCTGATTCATAAATTAAACTTTATCATGGGTGGGTATGTATAGGAAAAGGCATAGAATATATAGGTTTTGTCACTATACTTGGTTTCAGACATCTATGGGGGGTCTTGGAATGTACAGTGGACCCTTGACTTACAAGCTCCTTGACTTACAAACTCCCCAGAGCTGATTGTAACTCAAGTTGGCCAATTGCCTTCAAAGTCTCTCTCCTGTATAATTTTAGGCCATGCTTTCTTCCAGGCAGATCTTAGACAGACACTGGCCCAGGATTTCTCAATGAACCCCACACAGGAGAGGATGTTGTAATGTTCCTTCCAGAACTCTTTAAGGTTAAATCTGCATCTGAGACCATCTGGAAGCACAAGCAGCTGGCATTTGGGTCGTAAGTCAAGACTCTAGTCGAAAGTTAAAACTAAAATTCCGGTCGTCAGTCAAGTTGTTCATATGTCAGGCCGGTCATAATTCAAGGGTCCACTGTGTCCCCTGCTACAAAATTTATTGTTTAATTTTTTTTTTTTTTTTTTTTTTTGGTACTGAGGATCAAACTCAAGACTTGCGCTTGCGAGGCAGGTGGCAGAACCACTGAGCTAAATCCCGGCCTTTTACTGTTTAATTTTTTTTAACGCCCACACCTACATGATTCAAAATGCAAAAGATATTAGTGGACAGGCAGCAGTAAACTGAGCTGGCCACCCCTGTGAAAAGCCCAGCACAGACTGAACAGGCCGGGTCCCCTTGTTCGCCAGAGACTAGGAACTGCAAGAGGGCAACAACGGGTGCTTACACCAAGATGGGGCTGCCCCGGGACAGGTCACTGTCCACGGAGTGGGTAGGATGGGGCTGTGCAAACAGGGTTCCTGTCCTCCACCATGAGGCCTGTGGCCTGCAGGGAAATGGAGCACAGCTGGGCCTGAGCCCGGGGACCCTGCCAAGGCCCACACCGCAAGCCCTGCGTCTTCTTCAGTCAGAAGCCAGTGGGGATGGGATCTGGGGCATCACTGGATCCACCATGGGACCGAGCCAGGTGAAGGAGCCACGGGCCGCCATGGAGGCCCCGCACTGGGCCCCCAGTCTGACTCTGGCCCTCATACTCACCCAAAAGCCCAGGGATTGGTGAAGGAGGCAGCAGCTACTGGAAAGGAGAGAGGCCGGGCCAGGCTCAGGGTGGCACATGCCCTTGGGGCTTGGCAAAAACCAAGCCAAATCTTATCAGCAAATAAACCCAGGCTGGGTGACGCACACCCGCCCGGCCGGGCTGCAACAGTGGGCTGCACACATCCGAGGCCCCTCCGGGATGTTTGCCGGGCTGAGGACCAGCTCGGTGGAGGGCAGTGCCCATGCAGGGTGGAGTGCCGCAGTGTGGCCTGTGTATGTCGCTTGTGCAGGGCGCGGGGCTGGGGTGTGCATTCGTGTCCGTGTGTGCTGTGTGTGCAATGGGCAACAGCTTGCCCTGGTTGAAGCGAAGAGGAATAATTAAGCTGACGCGATGGAGGGGCGCCCAGGAACGGACGGGTGGGGCCTGAAGATGCAGGCTGCCCAGTGTCGCTCACTCCTCCTCCCCTCCCGCCCTTACGGGTGCCGATGCAGCCAGGGGGGGAGCTGGCTGCTCCTCCTCTCTGCCCCGGCCAGCGGCCAGCGAGGGCTGCTGGAGCCTGGACCCGCTTGGCCAATCCCCTCCCCAGCTGTCAATCATCAGCTGAACGTCATTTCCTCCTTTGCGCCTTCCCTGAGCCCAGGCCGGCTCAGCGCCCTGCACGCAGCCCATCCCTCACTCTCCCTCACCACAGGGCCGGAACATCAGCTCCACCAGGATGGCCGGGCTCCTGTGGGCTTCGGTATTGTCATCCCCGGGGCCAGAATGATCGGCGCTCCATAAATATTTTTGGACCAAGTAGTACCTGAGATCTTTTATAATAATTATTTCTCTGTGGTGCTTAGACTGCCATCTCCTTGAAAGTGCGGCTTGTTTTGATCCATCAAAACAGCATTGTAAACCTAGCACTCCACGTAAGACTGGGGCCCAGTAGGTGATAAATAAATATGGTAGAATACAATAAATCATTACACAGCTATTTAAAAAGAATAGTCAAATGTTCTGTGGATAAGGTCTCCAAGGTGCACTGTTATTTGAGAAGACAGTGGTGGAATCACATTTGTAATATGCTATCGATTCTATAATAGAAGGCTTAAATAAGACTTTATGTTCAGTTTTGTTTATATATAAGGAAAACTCTAGAAAGATGCATGAGAAATTACCGAAAGCAGTTACCTTTCGTAGGAAGGATGGAGAAGGTAGGAGTCAGTAGCAGGAGCAAGTCTTGTCCTAGTATAATTTTACACTTTTAATTTCCAACTCTTTGAATGGATTGCTCAACCAAAATTTAAAAGAAGGAAAATAAATATTGGCAGAAGGGAGGGAGGGAAGGAGCGAGAAGGGAGAGAGAGGAGGGTCCAAACAGGACTGAGCTCTTCTGGTCGCTTGCAGCTCACAGTCCTGAATCCAAGACAGACAGACCCAGATCCTGTGGCAAGTGATGCACGGGGCACGAAAACCCCTAAACCCACGTGCCCTGGCCTGGGCACCGCGTCTCCCGGGTGGGGTGAGCTCACCTCACTCTTCTTGGTTCTCCTGGTGTCAGGTAAGAGCAGCGAGTGTTTCCAGCCTCGGAGCCCGGACTCTGAAGATAAGTCTCAAGAGTGTGCCCTGCCGTGAAGGGCCATCGAAATGACCGCTCGGATACTTACCAAGGTTCACTCAGGCCTTGCCAGGCCGTCCACACCTTGAAATCCCCTTTCCTGCGCCGACACTGGCCCCTCAGAAGACCCTCGGGCGGTCTGTGGGTGACCTACACTCCCTTCTGGCCGGCTGAAGTGCAGCGCTCTACCCACAGACCCCCGCACCTGCAGACGCACACCACGTACACACAGCACTGTCGGGGGCGCCAGAGAGCACGACCAAGGATTCTTTGCAGTGCTGCTTATACCAGCAAGAAACGGGGTAAATAAAAGGTGTTATACTCAAACAATGGAGTTCCACGGCAGAGGAAATGAATAAACCAAAGCCATTCGCATTAAGCGGGGAGTCTCAAGCATCCGGAAGGTAGCAGGCCACGGAAGGAGCCACGCCAATAACACTCACGGGAAGCCCAAACCACGCAATGCAACGGCTCACCCTCACACGGGTGGTGAAACAGCCACAGACATAAAAGCACGATGAACCCAAAATGTGGACAGGGGCTCCTTGGGATGCATCAGGGTGGGGAAAGCAGGGGAGAACGTGGTTGGAAACTGCCGATTCCTCTAGTTGAGTCATGACATCGCTTTGCTACTAAGCTTTGTATCTTGAATGTATGTTACCAAATTCTTTTCTGTGACCCATATCTTTCAATTTAAAAATTTAAACCTTTGGAGTCAGGTAGGCCTTGGTTGGAATCCTGTCTTTGATGTAGCTGGGTGACCTTGACATGTCACTTAACTTCCCAGGCTCCATTGTCCCCCTTGGATAGTGAGGATGACAATGCTCAGCTCAAAGAGCTCCTGTTGTGTATGTAATGTGCCTGGCACATAGTAGATGCTCAATAAATGGCTGGCGTAATGAGTTCAGGAATAGTGATAGGGATGTTTCTTTTCAATCTATTTATGGGGTCAGGCATAGGATTCTGGGATCCCTGACGCAGAGGATACAATAAATGAGAGATGAATGAATGAGCGAGCAAATAAATGAAGGAATTCATCCATTCTCCTCCTGCCTCCCCATGTCCTCCCTCGATGACTTCTGGGATTCAAACCCCCTGGTGTGCACTGCAGTAATGTAAAATAAACTTAGAATAGAATTCTCACGCCTGCTCAGAGTCTCTGAAAGTAGCAAGCTGAGCCATCAGCCCAGGAAGACTGCACCTCCTTCCTCCACACTGGACGCAGATCCCCCGGGGTGGAGCTCACCCTGTCTGCCTCCCCTGGGCACACCGGGCACAGTTCTGGGTCCACCACAGTTGTTGGTGTAAACAACGGAGAGGGGAGGAGAGGAGAGGCCGAGGGTCAGCAGGAGCATCCTGAACATTTACGCCTAGGATCTACTGGAATCTGTGGTTTGCCTGGACCTCAAAGCCTCCAGCAAGGTTTGCCTTCCGTCAGATGAATGACAGCCCAAGATTAGAGGAAATTAAACAGACTTCAAATGCTGAGACTAACGCACACGCGCACATCCATCCTTCTGCTTCGGGTCGACAGGGAGGCCACCTGTGGAGCCACACAGGGCCGAATAGTTGAAATCAGATCGTCCTCATAAAGCCTTTGTGTGGCCCTGAGCCAGAGCCACCATTTGTGGTCTCCATTTGCGCCTCTGCAAAATTTGGTATCGGCTACTTGCTTCCTTCACAAGGATGATCTAACGAGGAAATAAGACCATGAGCATGTCGATGGTTGGAAAGGTAGACAGTTCTACATGCCATGATATGGATTTAGAGCCAGGATGATCATTCGTTTGGTTTTTCTAAGCTTCCAAATGTATATTGAGGTTTATTA